TGGTAGGCGCCTATAACCCCAGCTACTCAGGAGGCTGAGACAGGAAAATTGCAGGGGCCAGAGGTTGCAGTGAGCCAAGATTGCAACACTGCATTCCAGCCTGGACAACAGAGTGAGACTCCATCTCAAAAGAAAAAAAATGTTTAAAAATAACTTTTAAAAAATTAAAAAGACTTCCCAGTTTAGCCTGATGATAAAATAACAGAGATACAGAAAAATGTGCAAACCCATTTCCTGTCTTTAATCTTTTATGAGCTGTAGCAACAATCACACAAAAAGTAGAAAAAGTATACAATAAAGGATACGAATTCAAGATTTTAACATTTTAATTAAAGCTGATGAATTAATTCAAATAGAACTTGGACTATGAAAATGCCAAGACCCGGTCAGGCATGATGGCTCACACCTGTAATCCTAGCACTTTGGGAGGCTGAGGCAGGTGGATCACCTGAGGTCAGGAGTTCAAGACCAGCCTGGCCAACATGGTGAAATCCTGTCTCTATTAAAAATACAAAAATTAGCCAAGTGTGGTGGCAGGTGCCTATAGTCCCAGCTACTCGGGGGCTGAGGCAGGAGAATCACTTGAACCAGGGAGGCGGAGGCTGCTGTGAGCCAAAATCACGCCATTGTTCTCCAGCCTGAATGACAGAATAAGACTACATCTCAAAAAAAAAAAAAAAAAAAAAAAGAAAGAAAGAAAATGCCAAAACCGTATCCATCAGTATGTTAAATTTTCCCCCAGATATTAAATAGAAATAAACGTACATAGCTTTTAAGCACTATTGATCTTTAACTGTTAGAACTCAAATTAGAAAAGTTAAGTAAAATCTTTTTATTTAATCCTCAGATCTCCAGTGGTAGGGTAATAACTTAAAAACATATAATACCACTGCACTGTTAAGAACAATTTCATCTACATGAATAAGTATGCGAATCTTAAAAAGGCACAACAGATTGCCGAGCAAAGCAGCTCTGGTTGCAGAGAGGTTAATGGGTCAGGTAACTTTGATGTTTTGCTCCATGTATTTCCAGATTGTCTAAAATTTACCTCCAAATGTTATTATGTATTACCTATATAATAAAATATTCAAGAAATAGAGCAAAACAATAAAGTAAAACAAAATATTATTCAAAAAGCAAAGAATATAGCTATCACTACAAACTTGCATAATATTCTAGAGTTCCTAGCCAAAAAGAGAAAAATAAAAGCAAAAAGCAATGATTTTCAGAAAATGTATTCCACTTAGAAATTCCAAGAAAATTTAACTGAAAAACATCTTACAAGAGAATCTAACAAAGCAGGAAGATGCAAATTCAATACAAAATTTTCAATAGTTTTGCCATATCACAGCAATGACAAACTTTAAAATGTTACAATTCCTAGTTGCAAAACTTCCACAACATAAAGATGTCAGTTCTAATTGTTTTAAAATGTAATTTCAATTCAATTTAAATCGAAATCTCCACAGGATTCACTACGTAACGCAATAAGGTCACTCTAAAACACAACAGCTGGGAAAGCTTTTGAAAATGAACAATAAATCAAGTTATAAAGCTAAAGCAAGTAAAAAAGTTGGTGAAGGGTGTTATTTTTGCTTCCTATTAGAGAAATTTCCAAACATACAAAAAGTATAGAGAATGTTAACATTACCCACCTATGTGGATATCACAACTTCAATAATTAACACCTTGCAAATCTGTTGACGCTATCTCATTGTTTGTTTTGCTAGAATACTTTAAAGTACATTACAGATACCATATCTATTCACCTGTAAATAATTCAGAATATATGCCTTGAAAAGTCAATAAATAATGACTTGAAAAGATTAGTTATAAGAAAATGCAGTGGCTTATGCCAACACTTTGGAGACCGAGGTGGGAACCCAGGAGTTCAAGACTAGCCTGGGCAACACGGCAAGACTCTGTCTCTACAAAACAGATATACAATTACATACACGGCAAATTAGTCACACTTGATAAACATCATATATATCTAGCTCATAGTCAGTTTTCTCCAACTGTCTCAAAAATGTCTCTTTATACTTTATTTAGATAGGGTCCAAACAAAGTTTTCACAATGCATTTACTCAATGTGTATTTTAAGTCTCTTATAACCAATATAACCATCCCTCTATTTTCTTCTGTCACTTATTTATCTTATTATCTAACCAACGCTCCCCTCCCACTAGATCATTTCAAAGCAAATTCCAGATATCTGTAAATACTTTTGCATCACTAAAAAATAAAGACTTTAAATTCTTAAATATCTAATAATATTATCTATATAATATCTAATAACAATAAATAATGTATGGTAAGTCAAATGTAAAAATATCACTGCTTGTCTGAAATGTCTTTTTATACTTAGTTTGTATGAAAGATGATTTAAATAAGGTCCACGCTTTGTATTTAGATGATATTCTCCAAAGTCTCCTTCAAATTTTTAACAGTTCACCTTTCCCCCACCACACATCAACTTTTTTTTTTTGAGACAGAGTCTCTCTGTGTCACCCAGGCTGCAGTGGAGTGTAGTGGCAGGATCTCAGCTCACTGCAACCTCTGCCTCCCGGATTCAAGCCATTGTCCTACCTCAGCCTCCAGAGTAGGTGGGACTACAGGCATGTGCCACCATGCCTGGCTAATTTTTTTTATTTTTAGTAGAGACGGGGTTTCACCATGTTAGCCAGGATGGTCTCGATCTCCTGAAGTCGTGATCCACCAGCCTCGGCCTCCCAAAGTGCTGGGATTACTGGCATGAGCCACCACAACAGGCCAACTTTTATTTTCCCAATACAATTATTTGTTAAAGAAATCGAACCATATTTGTATTGTAGAACTTCATATATTTTAGAGTTGGATAGTTTCAGTTTCATGGTATTGTTTACTTTATCCCTCTATTTCTGTATTTTCTCCAAAGTGCTAACTATATCTAGAAGCTGATTTGTTAGTTTGGTGCAAAAGTAACTATAGTTAACAATAATTTATTGTATATTTCAAAATAATTAGAAGAGTAGATTTAGAATGTTCCCAAAACAAAGAAACAATAAATGTTTGAGGTGATGGATATCCCAATTAGTCTGATGTGATCATTATACATTGTACGCTTGTATCAAAATATCACATGTACCCCAGAAATATGTACAACTATTATGTACACACAAAAATTAAAAATAGGCCAGGGTGGTGACTCACACATGCCATCCCAGCACTTTGGGAGGCTGAGGCAAGAGGATCACTTGAGCTTAGGAGTTTGAGACTGGCCTGGGCAACACAGTGAGACAACATAGTGCCACCTCTACAAAAAAAGAAAACAAACTGAAAAAGCTGCCAGGTGTGGTGGCATGCACCTCTAGCCCCAGCTACTTGGGAGGCTGAGACAGACGGATCACCTGAACCCAGGAGGTCAAGGTTGCACTGAGCTATGATCCTGCCACTGCACTCCAGCCTGGATAACAGAGCTAGATCCTGTCCCCAAAATAATATAACAAATAAATAAAATTTTATAAGAAACTTTTAAAATGATTTTTAAAATTTTACTTAAGCTTTTTTTATGTTAGACTATTACAATGAAGCTGGGCGCAATGGCTCACGCCTGTAATCCCAGCACTTTGGGAGGCCAAGGCAGGCAGATCATGAGGTCAGGAGTTCAAGATCAGCCTGGCCAATATGGTGAAACCCTGTCTCTACTGAAAATTCAAAAATTAGCCAGGAGTGGTGGCACACACCTGTAATTGCAGCTACTCTGGAGACTGAGGCAGGAGAATTGCTTGAAGCCAGGCGATGGAGGTTGCTGTGAGCTGAGATTGTGCCACTGCACTCCAGTCTGGGCAGCAAAGCAAGACTCCATTTCAAAGAAAAAAAAAGAATATTTCAATGAAAAAACTTTCCCTCATCAACTACTTGTCTTATTAAATTGATATAAGAAGAGTGGAGTAAACACTGTATATTTTTGGTTTATCAATTTTCAGAGTGAATTAGTAAACAAGCAACCTAGAGTAAGAACTCATGCTTTTTCAAACATATTCTTATAACTGTTAGAGTTTAAGTTCTCTATATTTAAAATGATTCGGTCCATTATAGTCATTTATTTTGGGGGGAATTTAAGAGAAACCACTTTAGACTGTTGGAAAATGATAGGCTAGTCAATAAATAGAGTAGGGTTAATCAGCTATCTCATAGAATAACATATATACAGTACTGGCAAGTGCATATAACCTATGAGACAAAAGGTATTTGAGATTTTAGGCTATTAAGAAAATATACAGATCTACCATGTGATATTAAGAATATAAAATATCTGTGAAGTACTTAGCATGATGCCTGATGTAAGTACACAGTAAATGATACATATGAACGTATGTGTACCCATGCATGTATACATAATTATGTGCTGGTAAATGTTTAAAATCCAGCTCTATGAAGGAAAAAAAGAGCCCTGATTTGTAGTTTTTGCAAATTTTCATGATCAAATAGTCCCACCATGGATGATTTCATACAAACAATATAATGTCACTAAATATCACACTAAAGAGGGATGTGCATAACTGTTTCTCACTAGCCTCCACTATATTCATATATCCATATTCATCATGAATCTATTTTTGTTTATATGACTATGTCCGTATTTATATGTATATGTGTGTGTATGTACGCACACACATATTTATGTCCAGAGAATCAAAATGCCAAGTAAAAGTCAAAATGAATGACAGGGATTTTCTCTGGGGCAAGAAATGGTATAAGGTTGGAAAGAGCAGGATAAACAGAGCTACTGTTCTATCAAAATTTGTTGAATTTTTAAACAAAAAAGTGTTCATCTAGTGTTTATGTATTTACTGGGTCAAATGGAATTTTTCCCTAATTATCTAACCCATTCTATGACAGAGAGCAATATTTTCTCACAAACATCAACATTAAGCTGCAATGTGATATAAATGACCAGCTAGAGTAGATGTCATATTACACCAAGAAATCGCCTTCTGAAAAAATACACAGCTTACTTTGGCTTCAGTTTCTCCCCGGTGAAGAGTGTACAGATGGTGGACAGCACTTTGTGATGAGGACCAAGGATGAGTCAGAATTTGGAAGACATGAAAGTCATGGCCAAGGGTGTCTGTTGTGACTAGAAGCATTCCTGGAAGACAAAAAACAAAGAGTAAAAATAAAAATGATTCTGTATGTGGATGAAATATTCTAAAAAGCTACTCAACAATATTTAAAATATTATCAAAGAGAAAAAAATTACAAAGGCTCTAAGACACTTTACAAAAGGAAAAATTAAAACAAAGTATTTTTTTCATGAGAATACCAAGCTTAATGACACATCATTATATCACCAAAGTATAAACACTAGATAGGCAGGTATTATGGCATTCATGTAGAACTAGCAGAGAGAAGTTTGACATTCTTGAATTGATCAGTGATGAATTTACAGAATTCACAATTTTATTTTATATTTTCCTGAAGCAGAATCTCACTCAGTTTCCCAGGCTGGGGTGCAGGTGCCTGATCACAGCTTACTACAACTGCAAATTCCTGGGCTCAAGCAATCCTCCTGTCTCAGCCTCCCAAGTAGCTGGGACTACAAGCACATGCCACCAGGCTGCCCTTAAAATCTGGGCTTCAAGCACTCTTTCTGTCACGGCATCCCAAATCTCTGAGATTACAGGCATGAGCCACCATGCCCAGCCACAATCATTTTTCAAAACAAAGAATGTGAAAGCGGCATACCCACATGGAACTAAAATCCACTCTCTCTTTCACAATTTCTTCAAACTTTAATTCTACACTCCAATTTATCTACTGATCCAACTACTTGCTCTACGTAATTCACCAGCTTAAAACTTATCTCGGCGGGGCACGATGGCTCACCCCTGTAATCCCAGCACTTTGAGAGGCTGAGACAGGTGGATCACCTGAGGTCAGGAGTTCCAGACCATCCTGGCCAACATGGCAAAACCCCCTCTCTACTAAAAATGTAAAAAAATTAGCCAGGCGTGGTAGCATGCACCTATAGTCCCAGCAACTCAGAAGGCCGAGACAAATTTTCAGTTTTCAAACATGTGGTTTTTCTTTTTTTTTGAGATGGAGTCTCACTGTGTCTATCAGGCTAGAGTGCAGTGGTGCAATCTCAGCTCACTAAAACCTCTGCCCTCTGGGTTCAAGCCATTCTCCTGCCTCGGCCTCCTGAGTAGCTGGGACTACAGGCGTGTACTACTGTGCCTGGCTAATTTTTATATTTTTAGTAGAGACAGGGTTTCACCATGTTGACCAGGCTGGTCTTGAACTCCTCACCTGTGATCCACCTGCCTCAACTTCCCAAAGTGAGCCAAAGCACCCAGCCTGCAATATCCAATTTTTATGGAATGCTAACTACAACATTTTGTTCAATTTTGTTTATTTCTCTTCTCAGGCTTTCTTGCTGTTTTGAGACTACTTATTTTTAATAATCTTTAGTGGTGAATGTTAAAAATAAATAATTTATCAATGGACTTTTGGGCTATATCTCTTTATATTAAAATTTTACTGTTTGTTCCAGAGATTATAATACACATATCTAACTTTATGTGCCTGCTCATTTGTATTTTGTCCAGGTTTCATAATTGTTTTCTAGGGGAAGAATGGTCTGTACATTTACCTTGCTATTCCCAGAAGTAGAATCACATTAGTATAAGCATTTAAACTAATGTTTTGTTTAACAAAAAGGTATGAAAGAATATTAAGCATCTGAGGGAAAACAAGATAGTCATTTCAGTGAAAAGATAAAGTATATTTGAGTTTGCTATTTCTTTGGCAAATACAAGATACAGCTCTAGTCACTATATTAAAATATCCTACTAGATGCCACTGTCCTGGCTATTTCCAAGATAATACATTTGAGAAAATGAAAGGTGCCATTTATTATAAATAATTTAATAAATTATTTATTAAATGTATAACGATATATAATCTTACCTCTCATAATATATCTAGCAATGATCATAAGATTATTGACATACTTTACATTCCTTACTTATTGTTATCCAAACAATGAATTTCTAAGTTTAGGCATAAATGCTTTGTTGTCCATTTGCAGACATTACTTTGCCACTCTTCCTACTTTTTTGCTGAGTTACAGTAAGCTTGAATTATCAGTAAATCCACTACTATCTTCTGATTCCACCTCTCTGTAACAAATTTTCTGCACTTGACAAACAATTCAGTACAAATATTCTGACAAAAAATAAGATTAATTTGCATTTGTAACATATATTCCTCACCTACAATAAACTTCATTACATTTCGTTTTAAATCATACCAATGTTTTATGCAGAATGAGCACTCAAATAAAGGTCCTCATTTGCAAAATCAAGACTATTACTGTTTTACATGTGAATGAAAATCACAAATGAACACTTTCCCATATGTTCCTATCTTTGCAAACTGGCATTCATATCTGTTTAGTTATGATTATGTAAAACAAATTCAAATTTTCAGGAAAACGTCCGTTAAACATCGTCTGTGTATCCGATCTCAAATACTTTTTTTCCACTCCTCCATGCAAATGCAATCCACCAATAAGTTTTTTTTCCACAAAATTTTAAAAATAATAGAAAAAACTGAAGGAGCAGAAAGAAGAAAAAGAAATAGCTAGTACAGGACTATATACAATCACGTGCTTTCTTTTCATTTACAATTTCCTCTTTTGCACACATTCTGCTAGGGCAATAGCAAGCTTTTTTTTTTCTTCTAGAAAACAAGTTAAAATGTACATATACATAAAAGGAAAAACTTGTACAGAGTAGACTGTGGCTTGAGAACTATTTATGCAGCATCAGAAGACTAAACCAGACTCTGGCCTGGCCATAAACTAAACCCACGCCCCAAATGAGGTGCCAAGCCACAAAAAGCATTTGCGTCATCTGGGAATACAAGGAAAAAGAAGGACTTCTAATTATAGGGCCTGGAAGCGGAAGCCTAGAGTGATTAGCTGTTTAGGCACTGCTGTATGTTTATCTGGAAGCTTCCTCTCCCTCACTCTCAGCCTCAAGTTTGATAGATGAGCATTAGCGTTAGAGGGTGGGGATTGAAGCTGCTGATGGTACACAGCGTTCTCCAAAATCTGAGTTAGCTGGAGACTGAACATTAAGGCTTTTGTGGCCTCACACGAACATAAGTCTTTTCAACTGGGCGTCAGCTGGTTAACCCAAAAAGTAAATTAAAGAGTAGCAAAACTTCACCAGGCATATGCTATAAAATCTTGGAAACATGAGTAGGTTTGCCTTTTTTGCCATATCCTATTTATAACACCTACCTAATTGCATGGTTATCATATGCACACATGTGAACTAGAAGATGAACTGCCAGCTATTCACACTCTTTCCCAAAAAGATATATAAACACAATTATGCTGAATCAAATAGAAATCTTTACAGGAATTCAGATTATATCACTCATAAAACAATTTTTTACTTTGGCATTAATGCTTGTACATGTAATACTTTTCAATTAACACCTGTATAGATGCAAACCTACAAATTAATTATTTAGAAAAATACCCAAATTTGTAAACACAAAAGCAAAGAAACAGAATCCCAGTACTGAAAGAAAGCTCTAACCTCAGTTTTCACAAATCCATATCATAGCGTATTAAAGTCGGATTAATAAAACTTTCAACCTGAATATGAATACTGGAAAACAATGGTCCCAAAGTCTCCATATGAGCAGTATCAATTTCTTAAGTAGCTTATAGCAGCATATTTTTAAGCTGCTTACAGATACTAGTAATCAAACTCATCAATGTATTCTCCCACTTAAGTAGCCTAAAACATAGTAATATTTATCAAATTTGCTACATAACACTCTGTTAAAGGCACTGAAGTAAAAACTACCAAACAAAGCAGATGATTTAGCTGATCCCTTACAAAGGTTGCATATATCCATAACCAACATAAATTAGAAAGAAATCGATAATATTGCCCTTATTTGTTTCACATGGAAAAGTATACAGAGTCAACAACTGATTTTCTAGCTCACTTTATTTTTTAACTTGTTATATTCATCCTCCTGAGTTTTTAGCAGTTCGAAGTGTCTTAACATCATTATTTAAATATTTAATTATTTTCTTTCTCTTTGAATCATAAAATTTTCAGGCTTATGATGACATCTCTGGTCATTTCCAGTGCATCTTCACATTAAGCATTCTAATGTTCACTATTTTTAACAGATTTCTTTACCAAATAGATATTTGGGAAAGTGGTGTATGTCTATGTGCATGTATTCTCATTTTTTTTCAAGTAGTTGAGAACATTTGTCCATTGCCAGAATATATATTAACACTTTAATCTTTACTAATATATAATTTATATATAATAAATCCATTCATTTTAAGTGTATAGGATGACGAATCTGACAAATACATATACCTGTATAAATACTACCATATTCAAGAGAGAGAGCATTCAAAAAAAAGTTTCTTTGTGTTCAATTGCAGACCATTCTCTCCCCATCCACCTGGCCCCAAGCAACCATTCATGAGCTTTCTGTTATGAGGGATTAATACTGCCTGCTTTAGAATTTCATGAAATGTAAACACACAATATATTCTCAGTCTATTGGCTGCATTTAACAGTATATCATTCATTGATTTATATTACTGACTAGTGTTCCATTGTAAGTATATACCACAATTTATATATCCATTCCCTGGCTGTTTCTCTCTTTTTCTTTTTCTTTTTTTTTGAAATGGAGTCTTGCTCTGTCATCCAGGCTGGAGTGCAGTGGTGCCATCTCAGCTCACTGCAACCCCTGCCTCCGGGTTCAAGTGATTCCCCTGCCTTAGCCTCCCAAGTAGCTGGGATTACAGGTGTTTGCCATTACACCTGGATAATCTTTTTGTATTTTCAGTAAAGACAGGGTTTCACCATATTGGTGAGGCTGGTCTCAAACCTCTGGCCTCAAGTGATCCGCCCACCTCAGCCTCCCAAATGCTGGGATTACAGGCGTGAACCACCATGCCTGGACTGTTTCTAGTTATTTAATATTGTGACTCAAACTGCTATGAACATTCAAATACTAGTCACCATGTGGACATATGTTTTTATTTTTCTTGGATAAATATTTAAGAGTGGAATCGCAGGGTCACATATGAAATAT